CCGTGGGACCCCAGCAGGAGGGGGTGGCTGGGGGGTCCTTGACAAAGGCTGTGGGGGGGCAAAGCTCCTGTTCCAGTAGGGACTCACATTCAGAGTCAGCGTGATGTTGCTTTTATCAAGCACCTATCAACATAGAACACATAAGCTATCAAGTGGTTATAACATAAATTCCCGACTCACATCTGCTTGGGATGTCAGGGTCCTGGTACAATTTCAAGAGACACTTGGGGCTGAAAAACCCAAAGGGCTGCTCCAGCTTGAGGCAGCAGATCTTTGAAGAAGACAGCTGTGCTGACTCATCAGGGGGATGATAAGGCCTTGCCTGCTGTGTGCCTAGAGAAAAGAGAAGGCAAGACAGACAGGTACCCAAGTGTGAATACTGCAGGAAGTGGAATTTTATCCACTGGTCCTTCACTAACCATCCCTTGTGCTGAGAGCCAAACCAGGAGGGTTCTGGAGGCAGCAAATTAAGCCCCCGACACCTCCCTCCCCAGGTTTTCAAGTTGGCGAAAGGAAAAGCGAGGGGAGCCATGGAGATGGAAATTAGTCATCAATGAACAGTCTGTAGCCCAGAGCTTTAACCAGGGCCCGTGCCAGCTGGGGACGTGTTGCTTCCGGACTCGGCTGGTGCGTTTGTATGTTCCAGGCTCCGAACGCAGGAGTGCTGAGCCAGTTCTTCTCCTCCGACAGCTCCTCCAGGCACCCAGCGATGGTGCCCCGGCCACCAGGTCCCCGTGACTTGGGCCCCTTCTGCCTGCACCAAGGTTAATTTGGATTCACCTTTCCTGCCCTCCCTGTCTCCCAGAGGGAGGAGTGGAGCAGCAGTGGGAAGGAATGTCTAATTCTCTAGGAGGGAGGGAAGATCTCCAGTCTCTCCCAAGGTTATGTCCCTCACTGCAGGCGCACCATGTGCACAACATACAGGGTTGACTTAAAAGGTCTTGAGAGTGTTGTCCAGCGGTGACTTTTGGGGCTCAGGTTCTATCCCCTGCCCTCACTGCGGGAGAGCACTAACGAGGTGGTGTGAATAGGGTGGGTAAAGTGGGCATGGACATTTAGGCAGAGACAGCCACCTGGCAGGGATGTGGTTGGGGCATGCATACAACAGATCGGGACCCTGACTGGGTGATCTGTGAGTTCTTTGTAACCCCAAGATGTTCTGGCTCCCCAGGTCTGAGGTCTGGGGGTGATGGCTCCTGAGTCTGGGAAGCACAGTGTGGGAGGAGTTGCAAAAGCACTGGGGCTCCTTTCCTGCCTCTGGCTTATGTCACCAACCCAGGAACCCAGCCCTCCTCCCTATCCACTGCACTGTCCTCCTAGTGACTCACCTCAACAGCAATCCTTCTGTGGGCCCCACTTCTTGAATACAATTACAATAAGAATATTAGAAACCGTGTATTGAAGACTTATTATCTGCCAGGCATCTTGCATTATCTCATCTCTTCATCAATCGGCCAATCCCAGGTTCAAATCCTGGCTGGGCCATTTATTACCAGGTCACTTTAGGCAAATCACTTAACCTCTCTGAGCCAGTTTCCCCAAGTAGTAAAATGTGGATAATAAAACACTTATCCTGGATAGCTGAGAGAAGCAAGTAAATTAATACATGGGAAGGGCTTAGCAGAGTGCCTGGCACAGTGCTCACTACTGTTAACCACTGCTATTCCATGCCAGGAGTATTAGTACTATTGTCACACCTATGTTACACATAGAGCCCAGTCTCCCTGCGACCCTGATGTTCCAGCCTGGGTTCATGGGGCGTTAAAGCCTGGCTCTTTTCCGTTATGCTGCACTGCTCTTTAAGACTTCTCTTGCATTATGTGGCAATTACAAGACTCAGTCATTTGAACTCTCCTGAGAGTGGAATAATGTCATCTCTTGTTTCCTATTAATAGTTACACACACTGGCATGTAGATCACAAAATGGTTTTGCTTTAAATATCCCGTCTACAAGTTCAGGCGCCGTGTCTAGCAGAGTACCTGTCACATCTAAGGCACCACTGCATATGTATTGAGTTGAACTGACTTGCATCCATAGGGAAAATGAAGCTGGTAAAGTAACCGGGGCTTCACGGCTCCCCTTGGCCATCTCCTAGGTGCCCCATTTGACTCCCAAGTCATTGCCTCCGTGCATCCCAGCCCACTGTGAGTTAAGATGCTTTTTAAAGTTTCTTTTCTCTCTTAGTCATTCTTCTCAGTTTGTTCATGCACTTACCCTACAAATGATCATAAATGCTTACTCTGCAAATGAGCATTAGCCTTCTATACATCAGACCCTGTGCTAGATGCTGACATCCAATCACGAACCAGAAAACCAAAGTTCCTGCTCTCACAAAGGGATACAGCAAGTATCCAACAGATGAGGTTGGGCTACAGTCACTAAGGAAATACAGAATGATGCGCGCACGAGACAGAAAGGTGTGTGTCCCATGTGCCATGCTCTGGTGGGAGAGGTGCGGGGTGCCATGGGAACACATCATAGGAACGTCGCACCCAGACTCTGGCAGCAAGATCATAAGGAGCAGCCTAAACTGAGTGATGGAGGGGAGTGGGAGCTACACGGGTAAGGGCTAGAGGGAGGAAGTTATATTTTAGGCAGAGAGAAGCTCTGGAAAAGTGCTAACCCAATAGGAACCTACTGGGTATGGGGGAGGCAGGGAATAGGGCTTCTGCTCTTGAGAAACAAAGTGTATAGAAATGAGGTAACTTGAGGAGCACCTGGGTGTTTCAGTCCGTTAAGCATCTGACTCTTGATTTCAGCTCAGGTCATGATCTCACGGTTCATGGGATCGAGCTCCGCATTGGGCACTATGCTGACAGTGCAGAGCCTGCTTGGGATTTTCTCTCTCCCTCTCTCTCTCTGCCCCCTCCCCACTCTCTCTCTCTAAAACTAAATAAATAAACATTTAAAAAAAAGAAATGAGGTAACTTGAGAAAATGTCTGAAGTAACAGCGGCAAATGGCAAATCACATCAGGATGATGTGATGTATGAGTGTGAATATATTCAGAGTATTTTGTCAAAATGAAATTCATGAATGACGTACATCAGCGTCACTCAGGATGCTTGTTAAATATGCAAGGACACTATCTCCAGTCTCAAGTATCATAACGTCTGGAGGGAGGGCCTGGACATTTGCAAGTTCATCAATCACCCTGCTAAAAAAAATTCTAAGAAAGTCTGCAAATGAAGGGCATTTAATTAGACAGGAGGACATTACATGGTATCCAACAGAAAAAGCCCCAGTGCAATAGAAATACCACTGGAAGGATGGTATCTTAATAGTAAGGTACTTTTGCATTGCATATCTAACTTTGCATTGTCCATGATTGAATGCCTCACTTAATTTCACTGAATGTCAATTTCTTCATCTATAAAGGGGAGATAATAATATCTACTTTTCAGAGTTGTGAAGATTGAATGGTATATATGCGAAAAATCAGTCCTATTCTGGACCAAGTTTATATTAAAACAATAACAAAAGCTAAAACCGAACATGCAGACACACACACACACACACACACACACGCACACACACATACCTTTCCACAACCCATCATGTGGTTTGTGATGTCTGGCCCCATGATAATTGCTGAACCTGCTTACCATTTATTTCCCTTCTTTTTTCCCCTCTGCCTATCTCTAGCTGCTCAGGGGGCTTCCTGGGAGTCTGTGTAGCCAGCCTTCTCCTAGCGCGCCCCCTAGTGCTGGATGCTATAATGACTCCTTCAGTCTCTGAAAGGAGGATAACGTTTTCTGATCTTACAAGAAACTGTTCTTTAAAGCTAATATAGCCTACATAAAAATAACATTTTTAGTAGGAATATACCCATCGTCATCAAGGGAAAATTACTTTGTAATATGTAGCTCTCACAAATGACTGGTTGATAATTTTCTTCTCTAAACAGAAGCTTTCAGGAAATACTTTGGGGTTGAAGATAGAACCAAAGACACGAAGGTTCTCCATCCTGAGTCTTCTCCTTCCATGCTTCCAAAGCAACTGAAGAAGTGCTTCCTTCAAGTGTTTTTTATTGATTGTTTCACTTATAAGTTTCTTTCAAAAAGTAGATCTGTCATTACATTGGGAACATTAGCAGTCTGATTTTTGGTGCCAGTTCTGTTGTTGGCTAATTGGGCGACTTTGGCTAAGTAACACTCCTTCTCTGGATCTTGATTTCTGCAAGAGTAAAGTGAGAGCCAAACTTTCTGTGGTCACTCAGGTCTCTTCTAGCACATGGGCTCTTTGCCTAAATAGAGACTGTGAAGGGAGGACATATCATTCCAGAGAGGCGTCAGAAGACCTACATCCTCATTCCTGTTCCAGTATCTACCACTTCTGGGACCGTGGCCAGCCATTTAACCTGCCCGGACCTTACTTTCCTCATCTGAAAAGTGGGAGAAAGAACTTCTCTGCCTTATTTACAGTTCTTATAAAACACAAAAAAGAGCTGTTCACAAAATATGTTGAATACTGTAAAATTCAAGTTTCTAAAATATGGACCCCTTTCTAGTCATCTCTTGTAAACAACGTATGCCAGTTAATAACTTTAAGGACAAACACGTCTGAGTTTCAAAGTCACTGGTTAGTAGCTCCTGTAACTTTAGGTAAATCTCAACCTCAATTTTATAAACTATAAAGAAAGAGAGGTCAATATCGTTGTGGTCATTAAATAAGAAATCTATGAAAGGGCTGAGTCCTTCCTCTGACCTGCTTCCCCTGGCCTTTGAGGAGAATGATACCACCCTCGTGCGGATTTTGCGCTCAATAGCTCAGAGGCTCCCAGGCAGACTACAAACTGTGACAAATGGTGTGGAGTGTCTCATCTCTACAGACTGGATGTGTCACAAGTTTACCAACTCAAGAATTGCAGATAGCGTGTTTCAGCCTTCACCTGCAGATCATGAAAAATATGGTGGGGATCCACAGCACCCTCGTAAACTGCATATTGTTACCAGAGTGAAAAGTACAAAAAGATGTCCATATTGGGAAAAAGAACGAAGATGCCTGGATTAGAAAAAGCCCATACTTCTCAAGTTCCACAAGAATATTCCTTCAGGGAATGCAAAACTGAAAGTGGTTAAACATTTAAAAAAATGTTTATTTTTTTGAGAGAGAGGGAGGGGAGGGACAGAGAGAGAGCGAGGGAGAGAGAGAGAGAATCCCAAGCAGGCTCCACACTGTCAGCACAGAGCCTGACACGGGGCTCGATCTTACAAACCATGTGATCATGACTAGAGCCAAAATTGAGAGTTGGATGCTTAATGAACTGAGCCACCCGGTGGCTCTCATTCTCTATCTCTCTCTCTCTCAAAAAAAAAAGTAGTAGGAAAGTGTTCTCATGAAAATATATTTTAATACTTTTTCACTGGAAAAAAAAAAAAGAAATATATGAAAGGGCTGAACATAATAAGTGCTTGCTCTTCTTTTTCTCTAATCAATTTCATTATAGCATTTAATGGGTAAAGAAGCTAAGAAAGAAAAGTTACATTATTTTTTAGAAGTAGTCAAAGATTTTATCCTGAGGCCATTGAATGGAATTCTTTTTGACCTGGTACATGCTGTACATCTTGAATTCTAGGAACATGTTAACAGGAAAATCATCAGAAGGGCTCAGACTGTAGGAATACAGGTAAGGTGCGTGCTTGGCTGTGAAAGTATTCTGGCAATCAACGTGAACAGCCAACTCAGAAATTCAGTATCCTGATGGATTCCAGAAGGCCAGGGATACATGAACGGGATGATTATACAAAATGCTCTCAATCTCTGGGTTCTCTGGGCTTGAGACATCTCTACCCAGCTCGACCATGCCGCTCCCAGAGCCGTCACCCGTCCGCCCCGAGTAGGCTTCTACGTTCTGCCTACTTAAAGGCAAAACATTAGGACGAGTGGCAGGACAGACACTCCTTATCGCTGGGTCCTTGACCTATATTCCGGTCACCATATTGTGTTCTTCAAAAAATAAAACCAAAGACAAAACGGGAAGCCCAATTAAAGACCACAAACCCCTGTCAGAGGAAACAGCTGTGGGCTCTGGGAGGTATTCCTGGGGTCCAGTTATGATGCTGAAAGTAGGCTTGCTGCCTTTGATTTCCACAACCGTCCCTCCCATCATGGGTAAAGAAGGTTCGCATAAACAGCTGAGGAAAATGCCCCGCAAGAGCTGGCTGGTCTTATCTGCCGACAGTATTTGGAGAACTGAAGGAAGTGGTACCCACCACATCGATGAGCCAACGTCATGTCAGCATTATTTCCCCTGGATTTTGAAAAACAATTTTGTTTTCAGGCTGTGTGACTGCAAGGGGAGAGCCCAGGTTGCACAACAAAACTGATGAAAGAGGCTCTGTGCCTCCCTCCCCTTCCTTCCCAGCCCAGGTGCCCGGAGGACAGGGGAGTCCCATGAGGAGGGCAGTGCAGGCATGTGGGCAGACAGGTGTGACAGTCCTGGAGTGGGGAGGCCAGCTGGCTCATTCCTCCCACGTTTCTCTTGTTTTAAAAATTAAGACTCCTGCCAGGGATATATTTAGTGCGATGAGCTTTCATCTTAGAATCAGAGTGACCAGATGGTGGTGTTTTACAGCCACGCAGCTATAAAGTCACCTGGGGGGTAGGTGAGCCGAAAGCAACGGCTACGTCTCCCCGAGCGGTCCCCTCCACGAAGGAAATCGGGGCTTCTCTGCACATTGTCCCAGATAAGTCAATCCAAGTAGGCGTGTCTGCTTTCTGTGGTGCCTCTTGCTCTGATTGCAGTGTCCCGTGAGATGTGTTGCCGAGGATGGAGAAAGGCGATTGCCACTGAAAAGGCCCTCGTTCTGCGTTTCAAACTCCCTTGTGCATATCATTAAGAAATCAAACACGTTACAACAATTCAAGGCCCACTAAACTCTTATATCTATGGAATAAGAAAGATACCCCTTCGTGAAACAGCCCATCTTTTCTGCAGAGGCCGACTCAAGTGAGAAAATCTAGATTAAAATCCCAACTCGGGGCACCAGGGTGGCTTGGGGGGTTGAACATCCGACTTCAGCTCAGGTCATGATCTCACGGTGCGTGAGTTCGAGCCCCTCATCAGGCTTACTGCTGTCAGCGCAGAGCCCGCTTTGGATCCTCTGCCTCCCTCTCTCTCTCCCCCTCCCCCATTCAACACGCATGCTCTCTCTCTCAAAAATAAATATAACACTAAAAATATAGAATATCCTATTTAAAAAAAAAAAAACAACCCAGCTCCTTCACTTATTAGCTCTGTGATTTGGGGCAAATCCTGAAGGCCTGTGAATAGAGAAAGTATAGCCTATGTTCCTTATGGACCTGAAAGGGTGGTTATAAGAATAAAACTTAAAACATGATAGGCTTTGTGCAAAGGCTCTGGAAACGAGAAGGGGACCTTAGGAGTGCCTGCCTGGCCCCTGGTTTGCAGCCAGCAAATATTTGTGGAATTGGCTGCTGGAGGGAGATATGTGGGATGTCAGGCACGAAGCAAGCAAAGCTGATGAAGAGATATTTGGAGCTTTATCTTTGCTTACTCTCTTCAATTATTTACTCTGTCCAGACATGAAACTGGCTTCAGTTCCCTTCAGCCACACTGTCCCCACCTAACAGCCATCCACAAAGGCTACACAGACCAGATTCTGTGGCACCATCACGGCAGCCTGGGCCCATCCACCTGCGAGTGACTCTGTACCTCCTGACATGTATTTCCATACAGTTGGAGGCCGGTGCAACAGCCCTTTGTAAACCTAAAGGAAAAAGAATATCCGGATACATGTGAAAACCTCAGGTGCCCCTTCTGGGCCGTAGTTGGGTTACGTTTGTCATAATCTAGAATTCAGCTTTCATATGCATAGCACCAACTAGGGATCTTGTAAAATGTGAATCGGATGCAGACAGCCTGGAGCAGGGTCTGACACGCAGCTCTCGGGTGGGGCCGCTGCTGGTGGTTCTCAGAGCACACGGAATGGTGAGGCTGTGCTGAATCACCTCTGCGTCACATCCCCGTTGTCACCGGGTGACCCACGGGTGTAAGCCCCACTCCATGATTTCACCCACAACAAATTCGATGCTCCCTCTCCTCTGGCTGTTTCCCGCTCACTTCCTCTCTCCCAAGCCCTTCTGGAGATCCATCTGGACCACCTACCTTCTTAACTCTTGCTCACATGTGTGGAACCCTGTCTCTCTGAGGTTCTGGCAGATTCCTGTCTGCTCTTCCTCACTCACTCCTCACTACGGCCATAGCCCCTCTCTCTGTCTCAAGTCCTGCCATCATTCTGGATGGTGTTCACATCTCCTGGGTGGCCCCAGCCCCTGGCTTCCTTGGTTCTTCGTCTTTATCTTACCTTCCTCTTCACTTAGCCCAGGCACCACTTCCTATCCCATCTCTCATAAGAGTATTTCAGAAAGGCCACTCTGACCTTAATTCCTACACCTCTCCTCCTTTACTCTTCACCTCTCCTTTCACTGTGGCTCTGAACTTTCAAGCTTCCCCAGCCTGAGCCCTGTCTGTTCTCTCGGTGCTCTCTCACCTCCTCCCTTCTTAGGTCAGACCCCTGCTGAAGGCACTCCTGCACAAGTCTCTCCTTCAGAATGTGACTGAAAGCGTAGGAATTAAAGAGCTAATCACAAAGCACACTTATTTCCCCCCTCTCTCACACACAATGATTGCCCTTGTAAATCGCCCTGAGGGGAGAGTTTCCCTCGGATGAGACCCTTGGTGGGGCCCGCAGCTTACTGATCCCTCACAGACCATGAAAAGTGCTCTGGTCACTTTGGGATCTCAGTCTCAGTTAGGCATAATCATGCGCAGCCCAGAGGGATAATACAAACGGGATTAAAGCTGGCCCATTGCGGATAGGAAGCCTACAGTGGGAGAGGGGGGTGTGGGCAGGTTCTTTATGATGCCAGTGCCCCCCTCCCTCCACCAGGTGCAGTCTCTGACCCCTCCAGGATTAGAGGGGAAAGTAGACAGAGGGGGTCAGAAAGGTTCTACTGACTAGTTGACGAAGGGCAGTGGTCGATGCTGTCTGGGATGGGCAAGTGTCCAAAGCGGGTCCTTGGTCCTAGGGGCTGCTCTGTGATTCTTCAGAGACCCAGTGCCCGGAACTCTTTCATGTATATGAAAGAGTATGTATATACTTGAGACTCCCCCCTTTAGCCTCTGGTCACGGGGGTGTTCGACTCTGCCTGTGGGAGGACCTTCAGGAATGGTCCTTTGGGGCAAAGTCCCTTTACGGAGGTTCCAGGCCAATTCCCAGCATCCCCTCCCATGTCTGTGCTCTTGTTTCACAGAAACACGCACCTTTGACCTGCTGTCAGTGGAGAGAACTTACTTCCTGAATCGCACCTTCTACACTGTTGCCACAGGCGGCTTCAGTCACATTCCTGCCCTTTGGATTTCTTAGGCAGGACGCAGACACCAGTCTAAGCCTCACTTTCAGGGACACATGTCAATGCTCCAGAAAGTCTCCCTGCAGGCCTCCCACCTCTCCTGCATCGTGGATATTTAGGGTGAACCACACACCATGCACCCACCCCACCCTCGTCCTGCAGGTCCTGGCCTTGCTCTCAGACTCCCCAGCCTCTTTCACAGGTTGGGGCCCCATAGTCAGCTTAGGTCTACAGACCAGTTCTTAGCCTCCCCCTTTGCACGTCCTGCACAGCTGAGCTAGCCAACTCCCTCTGGAACCTGAGAGCACTGGCCACCCATCGTCTTGTCAACAGCAGAATCAAAACCCCATGTTAACACCCCTGACAGCAGTGCCTCTTGTGGTAGCAATGCCACGTTTATTCTGTAATTAGTATTTTCGGCCCTTCTAAAAGATGATCTCCACAAAGTCTGAGGCCGTGTCTGTGGCATATACAACACCCGCCACATCATCGAGGGGTTCTGTGAGCGGAGCGTATCGAAGGGCTTCTCTGCAACCCCACCTTCTTGAGCCTCCACCTGCCCTCCTCTCCCCAGTCAAAGGCCTGCCTGTGCTCACTCTCAGGGTCACCTTTCCTAACTTTCTGCCATGAAGAAGGAAGGGCATGGCCTTCCCCAGGAGCTCAGGGCGGTGGTAGTTGACGGCTAAGTGGAGGCCCGGGGCTCAGTCTACACCC